CATAATTATATGAGCTCTCAAAGCAGTCATTTGCTAATGAGTGTTATTTTTTATAATAGTAGATTATAGTCAGAACGTCTGTCAGAAACGCATGAAGTCAAACTGTGCGCAAGCAGGCGAGATTGAAACTTTACAACAACAACAAAAAAAAATGCAGAAAGAGAAAGAAACATATGAGGAACCAATTGAGCGTGACAGGGAACTGCCAAAAATCAGTGTCAATTTCCAGAAACAACGCACACCACAGGTGCCACAGCCATTATGCAATGCTTGATGTAATCTAACCAGTCTGCTTTCGCACATACTCAGACACACACACACACACACACACACACACAACACTGTCAGTATAACACCAGTAAGTGATAAGGTGTGAGCGCTCTGATGTTGTTCGTGTACAGTGCTGGGCAAGGGTTAGTCTTTATCTGCAGTGTACGTTACTCTCTCAGGTGTGTGTGTGTGTGTGTGTGTGTGTGTGTGTGTGTGTGTGTGTGTGTGTGTGTGTGTGTACGCTGTTGTTTTGTTAATCACAGCTCAGAGGACGTTTTGACCTGCAGTTTCACTTAGAGGTGTTTGGTGAATTAAAGCTCATTATTGGCTGGATGAATGCATTTGGCAGAAGACGTCTACAGATGCGCTCGAGCAATTGTGTTCTCTGAGCTCTCATGCTTTAGAAGCAGACTCAGCTGTGGCAATAAATCCAAAAATACTGTAAAAATAGTCAAATATTAATAGAATTTAAATAAATATATAAGGTGTCATTTATATCAGCGATGTAAATCTGTATTTCCAGCATCATCACTGCAGTCTGGAGTCGTCATGATCCTGCAGAAATCTCTGTAATATGAGGTTTTGATGATCAAGAAACATTTATCTTTATTTTCAGTGCTGAAAACACACTCGAAAAATTGTTTGTTTGTTTGTTTGTTTTTTTTGCTTGCTCAAACTACTTATTTAAAATAAGCTGAATCAACACAATTTTTGAGATTTCATTCGGGACAACTTAATTAATATGTTCAATCCACATACATTTGATCAAAATGTTAAGTTAACTTAATTGATTTGTGTTGTGACAACATGAGTGAATTGTGTGGAACCCGGCATTTTTTTTACAGTGCAGTTCATAATTTAATAGAAATTGTGATGTGTTGTAAATGATTGAAATATATTTTATTCAATTGAGGATGTAAACATATTCCAGATTTCATTTTATTTTTAATTCTAAAAAATAAAATAGATGAATGAATTTAAAATTTAACATATATAAATAAGCAGTTAAATAAGTAAATCAATCAATAAATTAATGAATAAATAAATAAATGATTGAATGAATATATATATATATATATATATATATATATATATATATATATATATATATATATATATATATATATATATATATATATATATATATATATATATATATATATATATATATATATATATATATATATATATATATATATATATATATATATATATATATATATATATATATATATATATATATATATATATATATATATATATATATATATATATATATATATATATATATATATATATATATATATATATATATATATATATATATATATATATATATATATATATATATATATATATATATATATATATATATATATATATATATATATATATATATATATATATATATATATATATATATATATATATATATATATATATATATATATATATATATATATATATATATATATATATATATATATATATATATATATATATATATATATATATATATATATATATATATATATATATATATATATATATAT